TGACTCGCGGTGACCTCTGAACACTGGCGATGCCTCCACGGACCAGAACGCGCCTTTGCTGGTGCTATGCCTTTCACCTGGAAGCCCTGCCCTTTTCGTCCTTTAAAAGTCATACTGCCCCTGCTGACCAGCCCAAATGCCACCTCTTTCCTAGGCAGCTGCTCAACAAAGACCTTGGGTTAGTCAGAACCCTCCTTGTCTGCCAGGGCTGAATGTTGGGAAGGATCTCACAGTCGCTCTCCATCTCTGATTCACCCACCACCCCAAGAAAACAGCTTAAGACCAAGACTGGCCAAGTGGAAATGTTTTTCCTGTGAGGGGGGGACAATATTCACATTCCTTGTGCCCCAGGCAACATGCTAATTTTCTCCTCCGATCCAGCAACAGAGTTAGGCGCTCTGTACTCTCATTTTACAGAGCCATAACTAAAATGCAGAGGCTAAGGCATTTGACCAAAGACACACAGCCAGGGAGCGGAGGAACAGGGCTCTCCATGAGCAGTCGGCCTCCTCAGCAGGTAGGTACAGGTGCAGTCCTGGTTTGCAGGCCACCGCATGTGGCTGTTCACACAGGAGCCTCGTTGGCACCCCGGGCAGACCAGTGTCCACCTGCAGTCCCCAGACAGGAGCACACTGAGTCCCTCAGGGTGGGCCAGCCCAGGCAAGGGCCCAAGTGGCCATTTTTCAGGCAGCCCCTCTCCTTACATTTGCCTCATACTAGTGCCTCATACATAGCTCTTCCCTCTCAGCACTATGGCTTTAACGTGTCAGAAGACTGAGCCAGGTCAGCAAGGACTCCAGAGGAAGCTGAAAACTCTTCTTCCTTTTACTTTCTCTTTCTTTGGCATCTGTAATGATTTGTCGCAACAGTAGGTGCCTCCTATGAACTTGTGAATAAGGACCTAGTCATATATGTGTCCTTATCAAAAAGCCACTAAAAAAATAATTTCGTAAATCCCAGATTAGCCAAAGAGGGGAACGGGCAAAGGGCACACCCAGTTCCGGCCGCTCCAACTGACTGAGGTTCTTTTGTGGACATCTTTCAAGTGGGCCAGTTGTGTCAAGAGCTGCTATATCCAGGCCCAGGAGGGGAAAGGGGGCTGCATGAGGAATAAAGAGACTCACCGATCCTTGCCTGCCCAGCCCCAAGGGACAACCCCTGAGGAGAAGAGACAGCATTTAATCTCATCTGCATCACACAGGTGGATTCTGATTTCTTTTTTTAAAAGATTTTTATTTATTTGTGCATACAGAACTGGGGTTCAAGTCAGAGGTAGGGGCAGTGAGAGGCTTCGCCGGAGACAGAGTGGGGAGCAGAACAGGCAGATGGATGAAGCACACTGCTGAGGGGAGCAGCGGGCAGGTCAGGAGAGGTCTGCTGGGCCCTGTGGGTCACCTCAGGGGCGGGGATCAAACTCATGCTGAAGTGGCTGCAGCCAGCTTGCAGTGCTGCATCCTAACCCGTTGCACCACCAGCGAGGGCCAGATTATGATTTCTAAAAAAAAAGAGTTTCTCTAGAGGAATAATCTGATGTGAAGACAAATTCACTCCCACCCCAGCCACGACAGGAGAGCCTGTTCTGACGGAAGTGACACCAACTTGCATTTGAGCATGCAGACTCATCTCTCTCTGGGAGAGTTTAGGCTTGAATGAAGGTGACAGTGTGGGCAGAAACACCCTAAGGAGACCTCCCTTTGAATGTCTTCTAACCGTCTACGGCCATACCACCCTGAACGCACCCAACCCCTTCTGAACGTCTTCTAGCCACTAGAACATGCTGCAAGCGAGGTAGGGCGTGAGGTGCCAGGCTTGCTGGCACACACTACAGAGTATCCATCTCCTGCCCCTGGAGAGGGCCAGGCGGCAGGGAGATGACGATGGCATGAGGGCAGCCTCCAGCCAGCAGCCAGGAAGAAGCCCAGAGCTGGGTCCTGGAAGCACAAGGACATGGATGGGCGCACAACCGCCTGAATTCAAGCTCCAGAGAGGGAAGCAGCTTGTGATATCTGAGGCAAAGAGCCAGCCAAACCCGGCGCCTGGCCTCTGGAACTGAACGAGGAAATGGGTGCGGTCCTAAGCTGCTGAGCTGAAGGTAAAGCTGAGCAGGATAACGGGTGAGCACATTCCCCATTCCAACACCGAGACTGAGCTAGGCAGCGACACTGGTCTCAGACCGCAAAGTACAAAAGGGAGAATCTGAGCCTGCTTGCACTTTGAGGCGGCATGACCGGCCAGGGCTGTGGGACCCAGCCTATGCAGATGGAGGCAAACAGCCCTGAGCTGAGATCAGGCCTGGCTGGAGGCTGAGAACGCCAGAGGCTCTCCCAACAGCAGGCGTGCCCAAGGCAGTTCCAAATGTCTGCTGTCCCTGTTACTGACCAATGAACCTCAGTCAGGTCCACACTTCGGCAACCTGCTTTTCAGCCAACAAAAGTTAACACTCTGGTACCCCAAATCTATAGAACCTCATTCCTGTTCTTAATCGGGGAGGCAGATTTGAGTTTATGTCCTCCTTCTTTGCCAATCAATTCACAAATAAAACTGATTTCTCGAACACCTGGTATCACAATCCAGTCTGTGTGTGTCAGGGAGAGCCTCCAAGGCCTGGCAACATTCGTAGCCATTTGACCTCAGGGTAAGGCCCCTGCCTAGGTGACCCTAACAAAACTCACGCAGACGTGGATATGGCTTGTTGTAACTGTGAAGGCTTTGCTGCCAGAAGAGTCTATGAGAGCAGTTTGAATTGTTCTATAGAAGTCATGCCCCTAAGGAATGATCCACCTGCTCCACCCAGGTGTGCGATAGCTGCACAGTTCTCGAGTGAAAAGAAGGCCTCTCTATCCTCAGTCTGGCTGTGGCCATGCTCAAAGCCCAAGAGGTCATGAACACAGCCCCAATGGCACTCACGGGACAACCACAGAGGCCTGAGAGAGGAAGTGCAGACATGCCTGGGGCAGCAGTGCAGAAGTGAGAGCCGGAGCTGAAGGGTGGCGGCAGTGGACACCTCGTCCATTTTATTTTACTTTATTTTTTTAAGATTTATTTATTTATGCATACAAGAACTGGGGTGCTGGCCAGAAGGGTGTGTGTGGGGGGGGTGGTAAGAGGATTCCCCATAGACAAAGTGAGGAGCAGAACAGGTAGATTGACTGAAATCCACTGCTGAGGGGAGCGGCAGGGAAACAGGAGAGGTCTGGTGTGTCCTGTGGTCACTCCCTGCCCGGGGATAGAACTCCAGCTGAAGCGGCTTCAAATAGCTTCATAGTGTTGTGCTTTAACCCCTTGCACCACCAGGGAGGCCCACGTAGTCGATTTCAAGGAACATATGCCAGAGGCGGCCTACACTTGAACAGTTCCTACTACTGACATGTAGAAGTCCGTATTTCCCGAGAGCACTTAGACACCCCAGCAGCTTAGGATGTGAAACCCCCTCCTGAGTGTCACCTGCACTCACAGTGACTTCGGTTCATTGAATAGTTTTCAAGGGGTGGCCTCGTTTCACTACAACTCAAATATTTAGCTGAAGCATCAAAAAATCAAGCCCCCAATTCCCATGTCTAATGTCTGAAGATTGGCACCACTTCGTAGCTCTGCCCATGTGCGATTTCATGGAGCAGCCAGAGCCCCAATCTTTCTGCATAAAAGACAGACAAGCCAATTTTAAATTAATACCTGGACTATTAAAAAAATAATGATGGATTTCACACCGGGTTCAGGGGAATCAATCAGACACACATTTCTTATCTTCGGCGGACTGGGTCGTTGCAGAGCTGACTCTAGGAGGCACCTGGGGGAGAAGGATGTTAGTGGCAAGAGTGGACAGAGAGAGCAGTCGAGCTATGTGATACAGATTTGGTTTGATACCATGAAACAGTGTAGAGCTACATAGGCCTTCAAAGTTATCTCAAGTTAGGCAGAGGTGACCAGATCATTGCCTTGATGGGTCACTGAACGAGACTCCCCTGAGAGAGGTCGGCTCTTGGGCGGGGTGGCTGTCTGCAGCTGAAGCCAGGCCTGAAAGGGTAGACAGGGAGCTGTTTGACCACAATTGTCCAGACAACTGGAACAAGACAGCCGTCGCTGGCAGGGGTGCAGGTGGCTTGTCACTGCATCTCTTCCTCCCGCAAGGAAGGCTGTTTTGGAATCAAGGAGAACTGTCACAGTGGAGGGCTGTCTGTGTGGAGGGAAGGAGCTGTGGCACTAGGTCTTTCTCATCGACCTGGGCCTGAGCCTGTCAAACCCGGCTCTGACCAACAGATGCTTCTTGTGAGAGGACGCCCACAGCTAGGAAATACCACAAGGCTTTGGCAACATGGTCTGGGCCCTGACCCAAGAGTGTGCAGGGAGGCACACCTCCTGCGTGACTCGGTCCATCACAGAAGGAACAGCTAAGCCCGCTGAATGTGACACCTTCAAGAGGAAAACACGGAGTGTGCACATTACCGGGCACCTCGGCAGATACTTGCCTCCTGAAACCAAAGGAAGCGCCTTACTGGCTTGGGCACGGCGCAGCTGTCTGTCGCTGGCTCTCCTGAGCCCCATGCCAGTGAGACATGGAAGCAGAGTGGGCAGGCTAAGAGAGGGCTTCCAGAACACGGGCTGGTGCAAAAACCCACTTTGCTAAGGGAAAGTAGGAATTTTAAGTCCAGAGTGAATGAGACCTGAGGGCCACAGCTTGGAGGACCTGACGTCCCACAATGCTGCCTGTGGGTTCCACGATCCTCATCTGACATGAGGAAATGGAGGGAAGCTCAGGTGACAGCCAGTCAGTGACAAAGACTGACTCATGCTGCCCCTGAGCGCCTGGCTCCTTGCTGGGTGGGCCCCTCCCGAGTCACCGCCACCTTGCTATGGAATGTGACTTCTCCACTGGCTTCCCGTTTTCACCCCAAGTGAGCCTGGCTGAGACTTTCTCTTCCTCTCAGAGATGAATGCTGGTGCTGTTGGTCCCTTCGCCCCTCCAGTGGAAGGAAGGGCACTCACCAGGAGGCGGGAATCTCGGGGGACAGCACTCTCTGTGCCTGACCCTTTGCATTCAGGCCTCTGTGGGGAAAGCAAGGCCAGAGTTGGCAGGCCGCCACAGCCAGTGAGGGCTGCAGCCTCGTCTATGGATTTGGTAGAAAGAGGAACAGAAACTGGTTTCTATGCCTCATCTCATGTTTCCACAGGATTGCCAGGAGCATACATATCTGTACATACAGGTTTGCCTGGGATAAAACCTATGGCAATTATACTTCAATAAAAGAAAGTTAAGGGCCCTCCCTGGTGGTGTAGCAGGTTAAAGCACAGCAATGAGAAGCTAAAGCCACGTCAGCATGAGTTCGATCCCTGCCTGCCCCGGAGGTGACCACAGGGCACGGCAGACCTCTCCTGACCCGCCCGCTGCTCCCCTCAGCAGTGGACTTCATCAGTCGGCCTGTCCTGCTCCCCACTCTGTCTCTTGGGAATCCTCTTGCTGCCCCTGCACTTCTGGCCTGTACCCCAGTTCTGTATGCACATATAAATAAATCTTTAAAAAAGAAAGTTCATGGGTTCACAGCTTTGGGCCAGGACAGAACTGCGCACTCAAACAGCATCTCAAGTAACTTGCTCCTAATGCCTTTGGCTGCCCGTGCTGCCAGGCCTTTCTGGCAGGAACGAGTGAGTCTCTGAGCTGCCTGGCAAGGTCCCTGGCCTAGTGCCCCCCTCCTCATTTCCAGACGGGCACTGCCACCTCATGGTGTGTGCACTCCTCATCAAGACTGTCTAACCGTCCCTTCCAGACTCAGCACACCCGAAGCCCCAAACCACGGTGTCCAACAACCACTGAACACATCCTGTGAGCCTTCACAGTGCCCCGCCACTGAGCCCGCAGAGACCAGGACAGGCAGGCATCCCAGGCCTTTGTGGGCACCCCAGACAGAACTTAGGAAAGTGCTGTGGACCAGAGCAGCCCTAGCCTCTTCCGGAGACACAGGCCCCTTGAACGCTGTAGCTCCACTTCTGGCCTAAACGTGCCCCACAAACCAAGCTGGTGAGGGCTGGTGTGGCCACCTGAATTTCAAATACTGCCAGAGGTGGCCATGCTGAGTATACCACGCATCAACCGAGATGCCATCCCTTCTAACATCCATCCGTGGCAACTGTTTGTGTCACATATTCACTGAAACTGTGCTGTCCATGTTTCTACCAAAGTGGACCAAGAGGACTCCCGTTTCCAGCACGATGGGGCAGCTGCACCTGCACTGTCCTCTCCTCAACAAATGCCACACATAACCGGAGACTGAAAGGTGGCGACAGGGCAGACAGGATAGGGACGTTGACACGCGACGGGTGAAGTCTCCAGGCTTTCACTCTCATTGCCTCACATACCCTCCTCGCTGAAGACCATGGCGCCCAGGCAGGCAGACCACAGAGAAAGGAGCCAAGCTGCAGCGCAGGAAGGGCGCCCCCTAGCGAGATGAGCTTTTCGCCACTTCCCCGCTGCCAGCACCCTAGAAAGCTCTGCTGCCCGCTTTCATCCACAGTCACAAAGGTCCAGCAAGGAGCTTAGAGTGCCGCCTCACTAACTGTGCCAATCCACGCCCCCCAGGGCAGGGTCAGCAGGGGCGCTCGGCTCTGAAGCCCCTCTGATCCTCTCATCTCCGGAGCAGGTAGGAGCAGTACTAGGGCACCCCAAGCTGCAGCCGGGAGGCGTGCGCACAGGCTTCTGAACCAGTCGACCAGAGCACCCTCCAGCCAGGTGTCCTCTGAAGCAGGTGCCCCATGGCTGGAGACCCCTATGTCAAACCAGCCATCTAAGTTTTCAGATGGCACCCTGTACTTACACCAGGCACCATACCTGTCTCCGTCCAGGTCACGTGCCCTTAAAATCTGTCAGGGACCCTTTAAATATAAAAAACGCAGTGCTTGATCCCAATGCTTGTGATCCCTGAAATGTATGTGCTGAAATCCTCATACCCAGAGGTGATATCGTGGGGGGAACGGATTTGAGAGGTATACATCCATCATGAGGGTAGACACCCCCTTAATGAGATTAGGGATCTGATGGACATGCCAAACAGGACCCAGTCAATTCAGCTAGTGATGACACAAAAACTCTTTGACCCTGAAGAAAGCTTCCACCCAACCATCAGCATCCCAATCTCAGAACTTCCAGCATCCAGAACGACTACATAAGCCACCCAGTCTCTGGTATTTAAATATAGCACCTCCAAAAGATTAAACACACAGGATTCAAGAAGACTCCGCAGAGTCAGCGTTGCTGGAATCACCCCCGACGTGCAACACAGACGCACAGAGCTGAGCTCCACGGGAAGAAGGCCGCTGTGCAAGGACGAGCTCTGAGACGACAGTGGCACTTGCGGCCGGCGGCAAGGGAGGAGACAGACGCACCGAGCGAGTACGTGCCAAGGGCACACGGAGAAGCCCTGGCGGAACCCCAGGGCCCCACCCCCGCGCCCGCTCTGTGCTCATCCCACAAGCGCCAGTCAGGCCGCGCCACCCCGCCGTGCTCCCTACGCCGCGTGGCCCACTTCCCAGCTGCACGGAACCCGTCCACTCACAGGAGGGGGCGCGTCCATCCTCAGCGCGCCGCTGCATGCAATGACGGTCTCCCAGGCCAGCGCCGGGACGCCTCCGCACAGGCCCTGCACACCAAGACGCCCACTCTGCCTGCTAACCGGCTCCCCTCTGGACCGGCAGGAGCATCAGGCCCTGGCTTGGCGTCACCATCCATCCTCACGTGTCTGCCAGTCCTCCGCCTCCAGCCGTAAGGCCAAGAAGGCACGAAGGGTCAGAGCAAGGAGCGGGCAGAAGAGGGGCTTTGCACCTCTCTTCATGTGCCCCCAGCACTGCCCGCAGCTTTCTGCCCGGGAAGGTACCCCCTGACCAGGACTGATTCCCCACCACCCCCAACTAAAGCGGAAGCTGCACGAGTGGCCAGCAGATGGCGCCCACAGGCGCGGCAGGCAGCAACCCCCTGTGCCCCAGCATCTGCCCGGTGGCTGCCCCCGCCAAGGGCCTCCCTGGCCCTCCCATCACCCTGTCTTCCCCACCTGCCCGTCTCCGTCAGGACAGCGTGGCCACAGGCGTGGGCGGGAAAGGGCACGGTGGAGGTCAGCCACTGCCACGCCCCTCCCGGCCCGGGTGCTCCCGGGGCTCAGCCACCCAGGGGCCCACCTGCAAACCCACTTTCTGCAAGGGTCGGGCCTAAGCCAGTCTGCGGGGACCTGAGCAACTCAGGGGCGGCGTCAGCTCAGCTGACTCTCCGGGGGCCTGAGGGTCGCGCCCAGTGCGCCACGATGCCGACACACCACCAGTCCAGAGCTGCCATCCTCTGTCCAGGCGGCCCTCTCAAGGCCCGGGAGAAGGGCACCTGGGCACCAGCCTGTAGAACCAGGCCTCCAGGGAAAGGGCACGGTGGAGGTCAGCCAGGACAGGAGCAGGGAAGAGCACCGCTTCCCAGGGCCCGCATCCTCTCCCCTGGGGCGCCCCACGGCGCCAAAGGGCAGTCAGGGGGCCAACCAAACCCGGGAGGCAATGCGCTCTTCGCAGAAGAGAAGCAACTTTGCTGTAAAATCGCCCACCGTGAAAAGCAGGGCCGCGTGGGCGGCCACAGGCCTGCCCAGCCCAGCTCCCGGGCAGCCCCAGCCTCGGTGGGGCCAGCCTCCACTCCCAGCAACCCCCCCCCCAACTGGTGCGCACAGGCGCCTGCTCCGGCCTCACCGTTCCATGGCCTCCCTGAGTGGACCCGGTCCTGGAGGCATTCGCTGCCCCCACTGCCTCCCAAGGACACCCTTCTTGAGACCGGCTTAGAGGACGCCCTGGCCCTGAAGCCCCCCAGCCAGCCTCTCGGCCCATCAGCGTCCCCTTCTGCTCACCTGGAACTCACCTCTTTCCGCCTCAGTTCAGCCCCGCAGTTTTCAGGTCTGCCAGAAGAAGAGCCTTCCGCCCTGAGGCCCGTGAGGTGCCACTGCCCTCGAGGGACCTCTGACAGGCCCAGGGCCCCTGACCTGACGACGCTCCTGCACCCGGCTCTGCCTCCTTCCTGACAGGCCCCTTACTGCCAAGCTCCCCCTCCAGTCCACTTCCCTGAGGGCCCAGCGTGGGATGGATGGAGGGTTCACGAGCAGGCAGGAGGGGGAGCCTGGGCAGCGCCAGCTTGGCTCCCCCATGGGGAACGGGGGCCCGGCACGAGAAGCAGGCTGGCAGATAGCCCTGGGTACCAGGCCCCAGCCCCTCTGCCAGAACTGTCAGGGTGGACCTCCTCACGGCTCGGCCTCTGAGGCTGGCGGCGCGAAGGTCTGTCCTTCGGTGATCCTTCCGGAAAAGACCACACAAGGCCACTGGGAAGGGAGGCGAGTCCCTGCCCTGCCTAGATGGCCTGCAGGGGAGAGTGAGGCGTGTGCAGGGTGATCCGCAGTGAAAACCGAGGGGCCCCTAATGTCCTCGGTGACTGGCAGGTAGCCCCCCTCAGCTACTGGACCAGGGTCAAAGGCAGGAACTCCAAGAGGTGGCTGAACCTCAGAGCTCAAGAGGGGCAGGCCTGTCCACCCACACGGGAAGCCCAGGAGGAGGAGCGCGTGCCATGGAAACAGGACCAGACCTACGGAGGCACCACGGGCTTCCCTCAGAGGTCTCCCCCCAACCCTGGCCAGGAAGACCCAGTGAGGCCAGGCTCTGCTGCTGGGGAGCAGTGCACCCCCCAGCGCCCCTCCCTCCCAGAGGTCAGGTCACCAGGGTCCTGCTGTGCAGCAGCTTCCAGAACTGACAGCAAGCTCTGCCCCAGGCCCACACCTAGCTCCCTCCCTCCCTCCCTCCGGACCAGGCCCCCAGCTCACTGTCAGCCCCACTGCCACCTTGGCCACAGCCCCTCTCCAGGTCCACTAGCCTTCACTCCCAAGCCAGGCCCCAGCACCACCCAAGAGCCTCCCAGCCCCACCCCGCCCCCACGCCCAGCCC